GGACCCCGTCGGGTACGTCACGGGCGTGCTGGCGGTGCTGGTGCACGCCGCCTACCTGGTGCTGATCCAGAAGGCGAGCGCAGACACCGAGCACGGGCCGCTGACCGCGCAGTACGTCATCGCCGTCTCCGCCACCCCGCTGCTGGTCGTCTGCTCCTTCGCCAGCACCGACTCCATCCACGCCTGGGCCTTCCCGGGCTGGAAGGACCCGGCCATGGTCTGCATCTTCGTGGCCTGCGTCCTGATCGGCTGCGCCATGAACTTCACCACGCTGCACTGCACCTACATCAACTCGGCCGTGACCACCAGCTTCGTGGGCGTGGTGAAGAGCATCGCCACCATCACGGTGGGCATGGTGGCCTTCAGCGACGTGGCGCCCACCTCTCTGTTCATCGCCGGCGTCGTGGTGAACACCCTGGGTTCCATCATTTACTGTGTCGCCAAATTCGTGGAGACCAGAAAGCAAAGCAGCTACGAGGACTTGGAGTCCCAGCCCCGGGGCGAGGAGAGGCAGCCAGGTGGAGACCAGCTGCCCTTCGTGATGGAGGAGCTGCCCCCCGGGGAGGGAGGGGATGACCGGTCCGGAGGCGGGGAGGAAGCAGCTGGTTCTACTCCACAGGGCGGCCTGGAGGCCAGGGGCAGCCCCGGAGGAGTCCGGCGTGTGGCTGGGAGCTCTGAAGAGGGGAACAAGAGGTCACTAAAGGATGCTTACCTCGGGGTGTGGAGGTTAGTTAGGGGAACCAAGTACATGAAGAAGGATTATTTGATAGAAAACGAGGAGTTGCCCAGTCCTTGAGAAGGAAACGCATGTATGTGCGTGTGTACATACACCTGTTTTATATGTTAAAAGTAACATGTCTGAATGAGGGGCCTCCCGGTTTTATTCTTTGAGGAGTGGGAATGGGAAGCAGAGAAAGAAGCTGAAAGGTACAGCCGAGCAGCAAAATTAGCACCTGTGTGAATGATTTAGTGTGACTTTACCTGAGGCGTCACAGAGACAAAAGAAAGAGTGTGAAGGGAAAGCAGCCGCTTCTGCTTCAGCCCCTGGCACATTCGCTTGTTGTTTATAACCATAACCAAATATCTGCATGTACCAAGAGTCCCTAAGCCACCCCCTCCGAAGACGGAGTGTAGAAATGATGACAGCACTTAGTAAGTCCAAGGATGGCATTCAGGGGCACATTGCTGATGATGGAACTACGGTTTTCATCACCAGCCGGGCAAAGAGTATATTGTTGAAGTTACATATAAATATACTGAATTGATGTTTACCGTTTATAGTCGTCTGAAATACCATGCTTACTCTAATTTCCTCACTTTTTCAAAAAGTGCTCTATTATTCTATTATATATTGGTAGAACATGTTAAAGCTATTTTGAAAACGTGTGTTCTTAGCTTTCATCATGAAGTCGAAAGTTTGCTTGTAGTGATTCTAAAAATATTTTTAAAGTTGTTTTGGTTTGCTGCTTTATAATATTTATTATTGAATGCCATAACCTTTTTTAAAAAACCAATTCGCCTGGGCCCAGTTTTCTTTCAAGCAAATGCAGTGGCCACGCCGTCACTCAGGATTCACTGCAGCCCAGCCAGGAGAGGGACCACCCTGTAAAGGCAATCCCTTCCAGGTCACACCGCACACCCCAACCGTGTTACAAAAAGAGCAACCGCTATATTCACATTATGATATTTTTCTATCTTAAATTTGTCAAAATAAAGTATGAGTCTACTAAAAGATCCATTGTTAGAAATTTATTTCAGACACATGTATGTTCTACTGTTGCTATCTAGTTTGCGTCTGCCTTCAATGTTATTGGTTTAAAACAATAACGTATCATTTGCAGCAACGTGGATGGCAAATAGCATCCCAAGGGAACTAACTCGGAAACAAATTCAAACACTGTGGGTTCTCACATACATGTGGGAGCCAAACGGACATAAGATGGAAATAACAGACACGGGGACACTGAAAGAGGAGCATGTGGGGAGGGGGCGAGGGTTCAGAAGCTACCTGTTGGATACTTTGTTCACTATTTGGGGAAAGGGGACAGCTGAAGCCCAGTTCCCACATGAACACAATATGTCCAAATAACAAACTTTCGCTTGTACACCTGAATCTAAAACTGAAAAAGAGAAAAGCAACAGGAAACACAAAAACACATCTTCCAGTGAGGGAACCTGTGAGATAGCACACTGCATCACACTGAGGTGTGAAAGCCATTCACACTGAACTTCATCTGATATGGACTTTGAGATGCATGGTCGAGTCCACTGAGGGTGAGGTCTTTTGTCAGCCCCGGGCAGAAGACTACTTTGAGAGTGAGGTTGCTCTGCCGGTATCTTTCTGAGAGTCTCAGATGGTAACCTCTTGTGTTTTTCTTTCTTTTCCAAAAATCAAAGCAAAGCAAAAGCAGAAGCAAACATGAAGTTTCAGTTCCATCAGTCTGGCTCCAAAAGCAGTGAGCACGTGTAATTGTGCTCTGTGATTGGTTCTGGCTTGCTGGTTTTCACAGGCAATTGATTGCTTCCGTAGGTGTCTCCACCAGCCATTGAAGACATAGAAGCCCTCAAACACTGCCGTTAGATGTGGTTCACCGGGGGTATAATGACTTCTTCAAACATAAGCATTAATTTTAATGTCAGCAAGCCAGAGGGCAACATCCTGTTGCAGCTATGTGAAGCTGAAAATTAATGAAGAGCAACAAAGTTGAACGAAATACTTTTTGTGTGTGTGTGTGAATACCACTGCCAGATAAATGGATAGAATGATTCTCTTTCACTGAAAAAAAAAAATTCTCCTTTGGTTAAAAATGTGAGTTGGCTTTATAGCAAAAAGATGACATCTTTCCTGTCAATAAACTTATATTCTATTTATAGAATAAATGTATTTAAGTTCTCCAGAGAAAAAGAACCCATATGAGAGAGAGATTTTAAGAAACTGGAAATTGTGGGACAGTTTGAAATCTAGGGGAGGCTAGCAGGTGGGAAATTATGTGACAGACTTGAGGCAGAATTTCTTCTTCTGGAAACCTCACCGTCTGCTCTGACGGCCTTCAACTGATTGGATGAAGCCTACCCATTTTATGGAGGATAATCTACTTTACTCAAAGCTTACTGAATGTAAATATTATCCACATCTTAAAACTGTCTTCCCAGCAACATCTAGACTGCTATTTGACCAAATAGCTGGGTATCACAACCTCACCAAGTTGACACAGGATAGTAACCCTCACAGATGTCTATGGTGGGAGGGGAGCTTGTGATGGAATAAGAAAAACCCAGGAGATCAAGGTGGAAGTTCTGTCACCCACTTTCTTTTGGGCAAAGCTTGGGAGTCTCTGCATGGAGCAAGAAAGTAAGTCATGGATCAGAGCAGGCTGTGCGTCAACGCCTAGGTCTCAATCACAGAAGGAACGTGGCAGGCCTTGCCTGGTTTCTGACTCTTTCTACCACTCTCAGTAGCATGGTAGCACTTAGCCCATCCACAGGCTTAGGTCCACCATGACTTTCAGGCTCTGGTAAGGTCTTGTGTCAGGCAGGAAGGAGGCTTCTGAGAAGCACCAGGATATTTCTGTGGGTGAGACTCCACCGGAATTCAATCACTATTGTTGCTTGACTGACCCAGCCTTTGTGGCCCATTCAGACAACTTGAATCCTCCTACTTTCTAAGATTATGCACCCATCTTGTGCCTAATTGGGACCCTGCCTCGACAATCTCTTCCAACATCAATTCTTCATGGTGGAGACCCCACTTCATGTCCGCCTGTTACTCCTCTTCTGGAATCTGTCTTTGAAACACAGCATGATGTCAGACAGACCTTCAATGCTGACCCTGTTGCTGCTCCCCTCCCCTTAAATGTGGTCTAGCCCTCTATTAATTGAGGCATAGATCCGTCAGGAACATCATGGCATTGTACTATGGAGGAGAGAGGGTGTGTGCATGTTACTGGGGGTGCTGAGCAGAGCTGAGCAGGGACCTGAACTCCTGCAAGATCAACAGTTCTAAAAAGCAAAGTCAATCCTACACCTTTGGGAGGCTGAGGTGAGTGGATTGCCTGAGCCCGTGGGTTCGAGACCCGCCTGGGCCACTTGGCAAGACCTCATCTCTACAATAAATCAAAAACTAGCCGGGCGTGGTAGCACACACCTGTAGTTCCAGCTACTTGGAAGGCTGAGGCGGAAGGATCGCTGGAGCCCAGCAGGTCGAGGCTGCGGTTGCCAGGAGCGGCCACTGCACTCCAGTCTGGGCGACAGAGTGAGACTCCAACTCACAAAAAAACAAAAACAAAATAAAATAAAACAAAAAGCAAAGTCATCCACTGTCAAAGGGCCTAGTGGTATAAGCGATTAACAGCAACATTTCACAAAGATAAAAGTGGGAGAAACTCCTAAGTCCTTAACTGACTGAAAACTTCTTTGCATTTCAGTTTGGAAATTTTCTGCTGACCTGTCTACAAGCTCATTGAGTCTCCCTTTGGCTTGTTCAGTCTGCTGATGGGTCCATCAAAGGCATTCTTCATTTCTATCAGTGTTTTTTGTTGTCTGTTTTTAACAGCTAGCATTTCCTTTTGATTCTTTCTTAGTTTCCATCTCTCTGTTTACGTTGCTCATCTGCTCTTGCGTGCTGTCTACTTTCCCCATTAGAGCCTTTAACATATCAATCATTGCTATTTTATTTTTGTTTGTTTTTTTGAGTTGGAGTCTCACTCTGTCACCCAGACTGGAGTGCAGTGGCCGCTCCCGGCCACCGCAGCCTCGACCTGCTGGGCTCCGGCGATCCTTCCGCCTCAGCCTTCCGAGTAGCCGGAATTACAGGCACGCGCTACCACGCCCGGCTGATTTTTTGATTTATTGTAGACATGAGGTCTCGCTGCCCAGGCGGGTCTCGAACCCGCGGGCTCAGGCAATCCACTCACCTCAGCCTCCCAAAGGCGCGGGATTACAGGCTGAGCCACCGAGCCCAGCTAATCATTGCTATTTTAAATTCCCTGTCTTATCATTTTAAAACCTGTGTCATATTAGAGTCTAGTTCTAATACTAGCTTTGACGCTTGCCTATTTAGCATGCCTTGTAATTATTTTGTTGTTGTTGAAAGACAGATAATGCTTTAGATAATAGAAACTGAGGCAAATAGGCAAATAAATTTCATGTTAATCTGACTAGAAGTTGAGCTCTGTTTAATGTTTGCAATGACTCTGGGTACCAGAGGCTGCAAATTCCTCTAGAGTCCTTCTTTTTGTCTCCCTGTCCTCTTCGGGCTTCCCTAAGAACTCCTCCTTATAGAGTCAGGCACATAGCCACTTTTTCAACTGTGTTCTACTATTATATTAGACTGAACCTTGATGGTGTGGCAGTTGAAGGGGAGGGGAGGGGAAGTGTTCTGCAATCTTATTAAACTTTAGCCCTTTAGTGCCATCTGTTCCTGGGCTGTGACCTTCACAAGGGTTTGTTAGCTTTTTCCAAACCCTTCTCTTTTCCCCTTAAATGAGACAGGAAGGCTAGAGGGGCCTATAATAGGAAAAATACCCTTCCTCCAGGTGGGATAAGGCTCTGGTAAGTCTTTGCCTCTGGAGAGTAGGCTTTTGTTATGAGGAAGCTCTGGGAACATTTCACAGTGATTACTCTTTCCCTCCCTCTGCCAGAGGGCCATGGGATCCTTCTCAGCTCTTCACCACCTGGGGGATTCCTGGAGGTCAAACCCATGAAAATGTGGGTTCCTTCCCTAAGATTGTGACCCCTCCCCCTGGAGTTTTTCATTTTCTCCATAGTCCATATTCAGCCTCCAGAAATTTATCAAAATTACCATGTAAGCACTTCTACCAATGTATAGCTCCAGTGGCTTCTGCTCTAGGTAAGGAGGTCTCAGCTGTAACTTTTCGGATTAACCTGTCTCTCCAGATTTAGGAGTGGCAATTTCCCCATTGACCTTAGTTCTCCAGTGAGTTCAGGAAAAGCCATTGATTTTCAATTTGTTCATTGTTTTTCTCGTAGTAAGGATGGGAGTCACAACTTCCATGTTATATGTTGGAGTTGAAACCAGAAGTCCTGAGCGGAGAATTTAAAAATTCGGCTCTATTTCTGTAAAAACAGAAGTTGTGAAGGAAAACTAGTCTTCTCTTGGTTCCAAGAGAAAACAAAAGTTCCCTAAGCTACTGGCCCTTCTCATAGCCTCTGCCGTCCCACATTGTGTAGTGAGTGTTAGCCACTCCAGGACTCAGCTGCAGTGATATGTGTATGCGAGTGTGGGTAATATTTAAATCCAAGTTCATTGTGAACAAGAGCCAATGCACATTAAGATTGGCGTGCCATGGGAAGGCTCAGATCGCCTGAGCCCAGCAGGTTGAGGCTGTGGTAGCCGTGAGCGTGCCACTGCTTTCTAGTCTGAATGACAGAGTGAGACTTCGACTCAAAAAAAAAAATTGGTTTGCCATGGCAGTTGCACTGAGTATCAATTCCTTCTTCTCCTTGCTTTACTTCTGCATAACATACGTCTCTCCCACTTCTGCATTTTCTTTTACCTTGTTCCAACCACCTGCTTTGACACCTGTAATTTTCATGTTAACTTCTCAGCGATGACTGCTAGCCTGTTAACTTCCCAGCTAGAGATTGCATCTGTTGCCTCAGTCTCTAGATGCCATGTGAGATCTGCCAGGCTGGATTTCACCACAGGAACTACTAAAACCGTGCCCTCTCCCTGGCTGTACCCATCCCCCTTACATACACAATAAG